CTATTAGTGCTACAAGTCCCATGACTTAAAAAAATTTATTTATTTAAATGTATGTACAGAAAAAAATCTTCTTTACATTATTGATTGTATATACCTGGCAATTTTTTCATTTATTGGTATTTCCTACTTCAAATGTTGTTTTGGTCCTAAAAACCCCCACATGTGATTTAGTAACAAAGGTTTTTCATCTACAATATAAAGTGCATTTATATTGTACTTTACATGTAAAGCTTCTGATTATCAGTGATCTGCCTGAATGCCAGCCTTGGTCTGTGATGGTAGCTTCACCACCATCATTGTGTGGATGTGTGTCTGAATTGGAAAATGACTGTAGAGTAAACTGCTTTGGAGTCCTCTGACTTGCTAAATCGCTATACGAGTGCAGGACATCTACCATTTGGCATCGAGGTGACTTTCCGCCTGAATGACCCGCTCCTTTCTCTCTTGGCATCCAACTGAGCACATAAAGCATTTTCCATCGCTTCAACATCATCAGGCACAAAAAGATGTTGACTGAGTTTTTCTCACCCTACTCTTCAACCTTTAACACCAGTGAGTATTTTTTTTCTCAGCATGGAGATGGAAAGCAGAGGAAGACTGAATTGTTATTCCTGCAAAACTGCATGTCCTGTTTTCCATAAGGAGATTGTCTTATGTTCCGATTTCTACTTTAGTTTTGTTCTGAAGTGCTGTGTTTTCATTTCTGTATCACAATGACATGGTCTGTCAACAAATTCCAATAACAGCATAAATGTGACTCTTGTCCAATTGTTTACCATTGATCTCCCAAAATTACAATTTAAAGTACTTGTCATTCAAACCTTAGCCTTAGTTTACGACAGAATATCCCTCCAGAGTGCTCTGCCATGTTGACAACATGACTAATCAATCTGACAGTCATATATCCTTACACAATGAAACAAGGGCATGTCATTCATTTGGAGGCACTGACATATTTTATGACTCAGATATTTAGATGTTGAGAAATACATTTATTATTTTTTGCAAATATTGAGTACGAGCCAAAAAAAGTGACTGAGAAGCGAATGAAAAAAACTGTAATCAACCACCAAGAGGAACTCAATAAAGCTCTACAACAATGATCTTATTATTTCTGAATTACTTTTATAGAAGTAACCAGTTTAAGAAAAATAATTGTACCAGATTGAAACAGAAGAAAAGCAGCCCTTCAGCTAATTGTCTGCGCTCACATCTAATGCAACATGTATTGCACGTGTCTGTAATACTGCAAAAATTTTATAATATTCAGAAAATCTGGTGCCACATAAATCACAGCATGAAATCACTCTGTGTTAATGTCCATTACCTCATGATGCACAAAAAGATAACTAATCACATAAACAGGAAATCACAGCACACTGCAGTATTCAGAGCCTTCAGTCTCTGAATGAAAGTCTGTATCCTTTATACAGGCTGTATGTTATTAAAATATTCTTTTGACAGTCATAAATCACCAAATTTGGATAAGCTCGTCCTAGATCTCTATGAAAGTCGGATTTGATTGCAGCGGGAAAGAATCAGGAAGAAAAAAATTGCTGTCAAATTTGCTGCATCGTGTCGATCATATTTATTAGTGTGTGAGGACGTTGATAGTGCACTGCTGTCATCCATTTAGGAGACAAAACAAACTTGCAAACATGAGAAAAAAGAAAGTAATACAAAACAGCAAGGCTTTTTTTTAATTAAAAGTGCCAACTTCCATTTACACAATAAGAGACTAAATAACATTTTACTTTTTAGTGAACATGTTTCATATAAAGCAAATTATGCACAAATTGTATATAAAGGAATAGTTCTTTCTTTAATAGCATAATTTGCAGCATATTGGTGACATAATTCAGCTGCTACTGGTCAAAGTGGTTTTCTTGATTTGGAAAAACAATAAAGAAGAAGGCATGGGAAATTTCACAAAGTTAACAAATTGGGAGGGAGGAGGATGTGGCTTGTTAATGAGTTACTCATCCTGCTCATTTTCCAATCATGAACGTCATGGATGTGTTTTGGTGGATCTGACTGTGGATCTGAACTGATGACATTATGTCACTCAATTGATTGAATCCTGAAGCCATTTTCTGCTGAACACTTTGTGATATATTACAGAAAACAGTCTACCTTCTATGTGTTTGTACCACATTTCAGCAAACTACCATGGATGGATTATTATCGTTTCAACAAAAATACGGCTAACCTTTTAAGTTGTAATTTGAATATAAAATCTGAAACAACATGCACCTGTTGGGAAATTCTTGGGATTCCTCTCACTTGCATTCAGTACAGTGAACAAAGTGACCAAATGCTACAGATTTGGACTACCGCCGATTTTCTCCAGCATCTGTGATGTTGCCATGTGGCTTGAAGTCTTTTCATGCGAGTGATTAAGTTAAGTGTACAGCAGCTACACTAAAGGAAATAGTTATAGCTTCTTTTCTAAACTTGTGAATGTTCATAATGAGGGATGTTAAACCCATGATCTGGAAGTCAAAAGAAGATCATTTCACCATAAACCAGCTGTGGCTTGTTTACCCTCATGCCATTTCTGACTAAGGAGTTTAAAAAAACGATAATCAAAAGAGTTGTTCATCAACGAAGAAGCATTCAAAGAGAGTGGAAAGAGCAGGCCCAGTTTTTTTTTTCTCAAAAGGAAATTAAAAATAGAAAGAATGAATGCACATAAGTAAAATGGTTTCCACAACTGTTCAGTGCACAAAACTTCACTCCTGAAGGAGCAAACCTGTTTTGCACTCCACTGCACGTGTAAAAGTTGTTATTACCAAAAAAGGACCATGTCATTCAAAATTTAACTCATGATATTGTTTATAAACTAATTTATAGTGGTCTCTTCTTATGCAGCTATCGTGTTTGAAAACTATTTCAACAGAAATTGAACACAGAGAATAAGAAAAAGTCAAATAAACTAAATTTGGCATTTCATTGTTAAGCCTTTCTTTCAATTTCCAGGCTTTGAAAATAATATTTGAATGATTTAGAAAAACATCATCCTCATTCAGTGATTTATTATAAGGCTAATAAGGGATGTTTTGTATAGGTTTATTACTGGTACTCATCTTTGAAAGAGGATTAGAAACAGATCACAGTGAAGCCCATAATCTGTGTTGTGGTTTCAAGGTGTAACAGTGTCTCAATCACATATAATAACCTTCCCATTGGACGCCACCTTCTTGGTTGAATCTAATTAAGGCAGCATATGTAAATGCCAAACAACTTTACAACAACTTAACTCTCCAAAGGTCATGACATTTCAAGTGTTATCCAGAATGATGGACCAAATAATTGCCGTCTCCATCAGCTTTCAGGAGCCAACAAACATTTCCTTACTTTATGATTTTATGTATCTGGCGACCGATCTGTGGAAAGCAAGTGTCTTGTTAAGCCGTTAACAGTGAGCAGGTTATGGCCTGCGCACTGACCCACTCTTTGATATTAATTTATGACAGAGAGATTAGTGTAGGAGGATGACAAGGGTGGAGATGAACGTGACATTTGATTGAGATGCTCAGCTCTAACTAAAGCTAATAGGGGAGGAGGACTTATGGCAGTTTTCCTCTATCAACTGTATCCTGTTTTTATGTCTAAAACTTTTATGCTTGCTTTAGCCAAAACAGATGGCTCTTTCCATGGTGGCAATGAAACCAACTCGTCAAAATGGTGTATCAGCTTCATTAAGTAAAACTGACAACACACCTTTTCACAATGAATGCAAAATCCTCCAGGAACACACTCATTTCCTCCAGTAAATCTTGGAGCATTTACGTCTCCTTCTTGCATATCTCCTCTTTGTGGAACTTTAATAAAATCCTAAATCCCTTGTATTCGTCAAGCACTAAACTTATTCCACCTTACTTTGTATTCATCTATCAATTCAGTCTATTTCCATTATCTTTTTTTGCACGGGTAGACCTACACAGCGGTGTATGTTTTTTTTTCTCTTCTAAATATATATAATTATGTTTTCTGGTTTATCGTAAAAGATCCTGACAAAAAGAACTACTTTGGAGTGTCTCTGCTTTCACGCATGGCTTCACAAAGGCCAACAAATTACCTGAGTGCTGAGACAAGGTAATTTGATGATGACTGATAATGAGTCTCGATACAATGAAGCCATTTAAATATATTACAAGTTTAACAAAAGTATAATGCGATTAGGTTTTTTTTAATAGTTGTTTGGTGGTCTGACCTAAAAAACGGGAGGGCCATTACCTTTGTGAAACAGCACTGCTATACAGTAAGTTCTGAGCTTCAATAATGTAATTGTTATCTCGCAATTTAAGTCGAGTATGAGTTTGGGTTGAGTGGTTTACCTGAATGAGTCTCACTTTTTGGCTGCAGAGTTATGGTTTTTTTTTTCTTTGCTTTCTTCTTCTCTCTAGTCTTGACTGGAATGTTGGTGATGGTATAACAGGTCATCCAGCTGTCGTGCAGCAAAACACAGAGCCTGAAAATCCTCTTGAAAGAAGCAAACATACACATGTGGGTGTCAAAATACTACCACTCGACCTACTTTTACAGTATAAGAAGCAGCAAAGTCACACAAAAACAAGAATGAAACGCACAATTTACAACCCAGTATGCCGTTCATCAGGGTTTAGAGATAAATGGCACAGAGTAGGAAAATATACTTACTCTAAAATAATACCACTGGTAGCTACTATCAAGCTCCCGACGTTATGGCTTTTAACAGTGACACCAAAAGCCATTTTTGTAAGCATATGTTAACTTTTCGGACCGCGTGCAGCTTTCTATTAACTCGCTACTTGTCCTAATTTACCTGCTGGCTCGGGGAAGCATTTCACCGCCAACCTGTTGATTCAGCCTCACAGCTAAACACGCGCGCGGGGCTCCCTTCCCAGTGACGCAGGCACGTTCCCCCTGTGGATGGAGGGCGCGGGGCGCGCGAGCCTTCATATTCCTGTGACGCCAGACAAAAAGTGTCAGAGGAGCTTGAAGTGGGAGGGGGGAAAAAAAGAAAAGGAGAGACAACAACAGAGAAGAAAGTCCACTCAGAGGAGGGAGATGAAGACCTTCAGTAGCCAAAGCCAGCCTGAGCAGCGCGGAGCCCTCTGCACCCTGCACAGCCTCAGCAGCGGCGCTATGAGTCCCCTCAGCACGGCCAGCGTCACCCTGGCAGTCCTGTTCATCCTCACCATACCAGCCTCTACAAGTAGGTTCACAAATATTTCTATTTTTGACATGCAACTAGGGTTTTTTTTTTCCATCATGATTTTTGTTGGAGAAATCAAATGAACACCTCCAAACTTTTCAATTAATGTGATCATTTTAGTTTTCCATCTATCTATCTATCTATCTATCTATCTATCTATCTATCTATCTATCTATCTATCTATCTATCTATCTATCTATCTATCTATCTATCTATCTATCTATCTATCTATCTATCTATCTATCTATCTATCTATCTATCTATCTATCTATCTATCTCTCTATCTATCTATCTATCTATCTATCTATCTATCTATCTATCTATCTATCTATCTATCTATCTATCTATCTATCTATCTATCTATCTATCTATCTATCTATCTAAACAAGACAAGACAGTATCTCTGTGTTTACTCACTGACAAGAAGTCAAAAATGACTGAAGGGAGTCGGTACAAATGTGCACTGACACTTAATCGTGTCTTACCAAACTGACCTTTGAGTGTGTTTGTATTATTAAAGGTCAGTGTCAACATTGGGCTTTTTTTGTCTATAGATACACAAAACATAGAGTAGTCATTGCTATTTTTTAATATGAAGATTTCTTTTTTATCGAAACAGATATAATTTTGCGTCATGTTGATACAGTCTCCCTCTATGTTTGACTGTGAAGCTCTTAACCTGATAATGGACCTTCACTGCAATCATGTCTAAACATACAGGAACAAAATGTTGATTATTCCTACTCTAACTGCATCCACAAAGCTCTAATGCAGTTGTTTCGCTCGCTCAATAAGACCCCTACTGTCATGCTTTGGATCAGAACATCGTAGTGATGCAGACTCTTTGGCTTAAGTGTGAACTGGGTGTTTTTATGTTGTTCTGTGAAATTAAAGGTGCCCCAGTCAGTCTTCAGCAAGTCACAACAGACCAGAGGCAGCTACTTCGTCAGGTAGACTTTGCTTTATTGCATTCTAAATTGGTTTTCTCTGTCCAGTCCCCCATCATCCTTTTGCTTCCCCACAGATAGACGCTGTTTGCTCATCCTACCTTTCTGCAGGCCTGAAGTACTGGGTGAGTGAGCTACGAAACAGCTTGCTCAGTTTAGAGGGAAATATCACATTAAAGTGATTTCTGACAGCCACCATATTTACGTTCCAGACATCAGATGTCATAGGAGAACTCTGTATCTTGATGTTGGTTCAGAAGTCAAAGGTATCTCGCATCATCTGCTGGCTTTCCGTCGTCTCAAAATGCTTGGTTGTGCTGTTTGGGTCTCTTCACCGGTAATCTGATTTATGCATTTTTAGGAGCTGAGAGTTCAAGAAAACAGTAAAAGGGTGAGTTCATTTTTTTTCTTCCTTAATAAAATTTATTTCATTTAGAAATATGTTGGCTGTTGATGTGCATGTGAGATTTTTTTTGTTCCTCCTGGTATTTGACATCCTATGCTGTATGTGCAGTTTTCATTTCACTATGCCAGACCCCAAGACTATCTCTTGTCACAGGGCGAGGTAAGTTAAAAAAAAAAATAATCGTGAATAAAACTGCACTGACAGTGTTCTGCTTGATAGAACAACAGCAACTTTATATGGGACCTGCATCAAATTTTTTTAATACCCCTGAGCTGGATATGGCTTTACTAAAACTGATAACAGCGACAAGTAATTTGCATATTATTTCCCCAGAGCACGCATCATTTCTATAAAGAAACTGCTGCAGAATGCATGGTGACACAAGCACAGCACCAATATGCACAAAATGCTAATTAAATCACCTCAAAGAGTTTTCCTCCCTTTGTGAGTGTGATGCATGTTGGACGCCATTTTGTTTGGAGAAGGCAGCGCCACAGCTTCAAAAAAGTTCCTTGAATAACTGCCTACATCCTTGAACGAACCTTGCTGCCAATCTGGGTTTGAGTCGTGACCTGGGTTCTTCTTGCATGGACTTTGCATGTTCTTCATTGGTTCTCACAGGCTAAGCTCCCAACCCCCCAGGACCATGCATGCATAGAAAATGAATGGATGAAAACTTTGAGGCCCTTTATTTAATTTATTTTACATTTATTTATCTGCACTATAATTTCTAACATCACAGCAATGAACAGTTGCATGTTTAACTTGAGCTTGCTTACAGCTACCTATGTTTAAACAAAAAAATAAAAGAAAGAAGATTTTTGAAAAAGAAAAATACAAAAGATAAATATGGGACACATTATTTAAATAGCTGCATGAAGTCATATGTATGTTTTTCAGATTTTATTCATATTATTGTTTCTGTTTTCCAAGTAGTAGTTGGCAAAACAGAGCCTTACATCTGATTGGTTAATCTGCTCTACAAGTCAGCTTTAGCCCAATCATCTTTTATCACAGCAGTTTTAGCCAATCCCCTGATTTTGATAGCTAATGCTGAGAGGAGGTATTACATTTTAATAGTCTGATCAATTTGAATAAAAAAAACCCCAAAACAAAATATAAAAATAACTATGTGTTGTTTTAACATGTCATCAGTTCTGTTTTCAAGGAAGCAGAGTGAATTTAAATGGTTAATTATGTCCACATTTGTTGTTTTTTTGACACATCCATGGATTTGTGTTTCTTTTCATAAATATCCATTTAGTCAGTTGCAGCACTTAAGGCCTCCCATAGTTCAGTTGTTTTAGCTACACATATTTATTCCCATTGATAGAGATTTGAGAGAAAATATATAAGTCAGATCAGAGATAAATTTGGTTCTCAAAAAAAAGAATTTATTAAAATTTTTGGGCTGCCTAATTTCACAGATATATTAGGTTTATTTAGCTATGGCCATCCAGTGAAAATGTACACATGCACTTGCCTCCTTCTAATAAATATAAGTATAAAGGTATAAAACCCCAAATAGAGCATGAGGTCTTCCCTGCAGACTTGACTGCTGACCTGAAGCATCTGCATTTCTGTGTTGCACACTCTTCTGTACAGACCCCCCCAAAATTGTGCACATTCCATGATGTCTTCTCTTTTCCACTGTTGTTGATGTTTGCGTGTCTGCCTCTCTACACACGTGTGTTTGTGTTTGTCAGAACTCTCAGTTGCACCCTCTTCTGCATCTCGTTTCTCAGCTCCATCCCAGAAGAGAGAGAGGACTCGTAATGAGCGTATGTACCACTCACATCATTTCAGTTTTTATTTATTTGATTTAAAAAAAAATCAAATCTGACATCCACTTCTTTTGAAGAAATTGAGAAATACTTTGTGTTCTGAATGTAGAAATCAAATGCAACCACAGATGCAAACTGCTCTATTTGCGCGACCTCTCAACACGTCTTACCCTGAATAAAAAAAAAAAAAAGTAAACATTTTCTTTAAAAGTAGGTGTGTTATGTTTTAGATCATAACTTAGAGCTGCAGCGTGCACAGCCAGCAGATGCTGATACCTAAGCACACGTGCTTCATTCTGCTGTGGACTTACATGTCTTTTCCCGGTCCTTAGCTCAAGTCATGTCATGTCATGTCAGTAATGTTCAGTCTGCATTAGTCGTGTTTTCCAAGCTGAGAGTAATTATGTTCTAAAAACGAGTGCTGCTGGAAAGGGGAACACATCACTATTTGCTTTCAAACAAAGCAGATAGAGAGCAAATGTGGATGAGGAACGTGGACACTGTTTGCTTTGGAGTGACTGTTTAAGTGGGTATATGCCATTTCCTCTGCTGATGGAGAAACACTGTTTTCTACGTCAACAAAATCCATCATCATTTTGTGCAGAAAGTTAAATCCTGCTTCTTTTTTTTCCTTTTTTTTTGTGTGTCCATCCAGGCTGAACTCCAGGGACCTGGCGGAATTGAAAGCAGGGGCTACTTCCTCTATCGGGTATGTGTGCGTCAGGTAGTGACAGGAAGTAAAAGCTGCACATTAAATAACAGAAATTATAAGCTTCTCTTTGCTCTTATAGCCACGAAATGGAAAACGGTCTTTAGAATATGAATAAAAGGAAAAGGTAACATTGCAAATAATTTGTGTCAGACGTTTTACCTGTGGTGATTTTGTTTTCAAATTATGACTTGATTCTGTGGGTGAATATGCTGCAGAAACTCCGCCTGCGTGTGTACAGAGACACGGACCCGCGCTGCACGATGACTGAGTGATCCCGACGCCTGCCACTGCCCTTTGACTCTGCTGTACATTGATGTTTGAAACTATACAATGAATGCCAATTAAACTACCATTCATTTGTCCAGATTTTATTTTGTGTGATTCATTTAGGTTGCTCAAGTGTGAGTCGTGACATATTATTCTGGCGTCAGTCTTTGTATTTGGAACAAGTTGGAGGAAAATACACAAAACTATACACTTTAGCATAAAAGTATATTGATGTTGAATTGTTTGGAGTCTCTTCTCCTTTGGTTAAATAATTTGTTTGTGACATTATTTGCAGAATTTGTAAGTTAAATATGCAGTTATTATTACCAGCAGTAGATGCCGCCATCGTTCCACTGCTAATGTGTGTTATATTTACAGAATAAGATTGTTTATTGGTGAGATTGCCAACAGAGTTGTGTCTACAATCATTTGACAGCCTCTGCAAACTAAGTTTACTGCCAATTTCCAAAAGCGGTCAGTTGTTTACTATTATAAGTATGAGTAATATTACGCAGATTTTTCCCAAATTCAAATGAGTACTGCAGTGACAAAAAATATTCATTTATGAAGAATGCAATTCTTCAAAAATGCCCACATGTATGAATTTGGGTTGTTTTCAGACAATCGAGGACTTTGTTAGTTGTATTTACCGTGCTTTAGATAGTACACCGCCAATACCTGGCCTGTTAACATTTCACTGAATACAGTTGAAAGCATAAAGTCAGATGTGGAACAGTTACTATGCCGCTTGGGTCTGACTGTTGTTTCAAATTCAATCGTAGCACTTTTACTTTTTGGGGAATGTTTTTAAAATTAGTCTATGAAAAACCCATGTAAAGAAGGTGTGCCAGAAAATAACATCTTTAATACTATTTAACAATCATAATTTTGTTGTTTTTTTTAAATTACCTGTAAGGAAACAATAATTTTATGGTCTTCTTCAAAATCTGAAATGAATGTTTTGTTGTTGTTGTTGTTTTGTCTGATTGTTTGTTTGCTTTGGGGCTCGGAATAGATTAATTCCACTGCGATGTGGTTCACATAACTATTGTTTTTTTAGCCACAAAAATAGCATTGTTTTAGTCATTTCCTCTAGGTGGATTATACTGGTTTGCCTTGGGGGCCTCCAATAAAGAAAACAAACCAGGATGTTAATAAAAGTTTAATCATTTACATTAAAAATGACAGAGCTGTGGTCACTGGACGATGCAGAAAACAAAGTTTTCTTGTGTGTGTGGTGCCCTGAATATATACGCCCGACGCTGCCATCTACTGGCCAACTACTGTAAGTCCAGTTAGACAAAAAATGTTCTGTAAGTTTTGTTCTGAGACAACCACAGTGAATCATCTGTTCATTAAAGTGGACATCACTTGTCATATGTTTACGTCATTTCCAGTACTGTGACTATGCTGCAATTGAAAATACGTTTCTGCTGTGAAAATAAATACTTTCTGTAAGTCTTTCCTAGTAAAACAACATATTTTGAAGTTCAGTTACTATATTACACTTAGCATTACTGCATTTTGTAAGGTTGAAGTACAGCACATGACAAAAAGAGTATCATGCAGCATAGTGGAGCTATTATCTGGAAAAAAAGTCATTAATATCTCTCTGAAGATGAAGGACTGGGATATAAAGTGCCTCATAAAATCACCATTTGATCTTTAGGTAACATTATAACTACAAGCTTGGATTGTATTGTCAACGTTATAAAGTAGTGCAAAATTATGCAGTAGAAGGGAAGTAACAACTGGACCTAAAAATGCTTTACAAAAGAAATCTGAAAAGTGTGGCAGGCATGTTTGGCGGACTCAGGTGGTGCACTTAAACGGACAGCCTTGGCAAGAGAGTTTCATCGCACAGGTGGAAGGTTCTGTCGACATGACTTTTATGGAAAAATTCTTGACCCACTAAGAAACATGGCCAAAAGACGTTACCACCTCTGTGGTTTGCCACAAAAGCTATGCAAGGGACACAGAAACAAGGGGGAAACCTGTTACTGAAACTTGTCATGACACTGAAAAAGAACTTTTTTTTTTGCCATGAAACACTGTTTTGCAGACAGCTGTCTGAACACACCATTCCCACTGTGAGTCATGGCAGCATAGTTAAACAGTGAGTTGTTTTTTGTTTCTCTCTCCAAGATTCTTGTTATAAGTGTAAGTACTATTAAACATACATCTTTACATAAATATAAAACAATTCTAGGTAAGGAAAGAGTCACGTTGTCTCCTCTTAATAACAAAAACACTAAGTGAAGCTTAGTGAAAATACAGCAGCTTAATTGACAAGACACCTACAGATGCTGACCTACTTCGTTAAAGTTAAATACATTATTAGAAGCTTGCATGTGTCAGAAATAGCGGAATCTTAACGCTATGTGATCAAAAATATCTACTTTGTGCATTTTTGTCTGCTACAGAATTTTTTTTCACTGTGAATTCCGACGAGAAAGGAGAGAGAGAGAAAGAGAGGGAGGGAGAGAAAGAGAGAGGGGAGGAAATGAAGGGGAAAAAAGCAATAAAGAAAAAGAAACAAGAAAGAGAAATAATTTCTAATTGTCTGCATAATGTTTCATTCAAGGATCTCTAAGAAATTACAACTGATGTTCAACAGTGCGCCATGCTGTGAGTGATGAAGGTGCAAGCAGTTAAATTAAAAGTGCATGTGCGGTGCGCCAGTGTTCGCAGAGAGGCGTGCGTGTTTTCTGGAGAACAGCGGCAGCCGGCAGGCCGCCGGTTTGGCTCCGGTTCCAACTCCAGTCAGTCTGCCTCCTCAGTCTGCGCAGTCAACCGCCAGCAGCGCCGCTGGGTGCCGGAATCTCCCGATGAAAGACCGGACTCCTCGGAGGTAAGTGTCGCCGTTTTGATCAGCGAAGCTGCTCCGGGACCGCCGCGTCTGTGTCCACGGGGCTCCGCGTAGACTTTCAGCGAGCCTGGGCGGACTGAAAAGAGAGGGGTCCGGCTTGTTACCGCTGAGAAGCGGAGACCGGCTGAAGGCCCGGTGACCCACATTCTTATCTAATGTTGCGTGTTAGCCAGCTAGCTTCGGCTAAAACTGGGTTAACTGGCGTACAGCGCCTTTTGCCGTACGAGTTAAATGCAAGAATTGCGTTAAAGTTACTCGCCGCATGTAAAATATGTCTTCCACTATTTTACTTTAATATCATGTACTCGTGAGTGCCATTTATCGCAGTGTTGTAAACTATTGGAGCTGTTGTTTTGCTGCTGTGTAAATGACGTTAGCCGGTAAGCTAGGTGGCGACAGCAGCCTTCTAGCGGTCTCTTCCCGGTTTTTGCCGGCCGGCTTCAGGGCATGGACGGACACATTTGGTGCTCTTTCCCGGAAACTTTCATGCAGACCAGGCTTCATTTAGCTCTGCGACCACATAACCGGGTTCTGTCCAGTTTCATATCAATAGTTACAGTTTTACTCGGATTTTAAAGGCATGCCCGTTAATTAATATATAGCTGCTCTGTTTTCTCTACACCTAAAAGTCACTGATAGTAAATTATCACTTTAGTCGCCAAGGCTATGTAACCCTTGTGTTGTCTTGCAAGTCAAAAGTGATCCATTACCATGTTTACCAGTAGAAAAAATACCCTAAACTATTTTTGAATTTTTATGACTTTTCCTAAATTGACCCTGTCATTAGAAAAAGTGATTTTTTTTGTTTGTATTTCTATGTGGGCTGTACACCACTAAGGTACAACAATTGTCTTATTGGTTATTTCTCACCCGAGAGTTATAAAAGCATTTTAACACCAGAAAAAGAGTTCAAAGGCCACACATCAATCCAGTATCAAAGAAACTGGACAGATGTACAAATTTAATTTGGATTTGACCTGCATCTGTCCTCTCAATCTGCAGCTAACCCCTCACATCAAGTTCCCAGACACAACAGAAGATAATAAATAATAAATAAAAACAAATTAGGTATAGAGGATATGAAGGCATGTTGAATCTGAGTACCGCTAGTTGGTTCCTTGAGTAGATGTTTCACTGCCCACCAGGTGCTGCGTTGTATGTTTGGACATACTGTCCTACATGGGATCTTCAGCATAAGAAGTTGTGCTGAAGATGTTCAACGTTGGAGCGTCTTTATATGAACATCTTGTGTTGAACATTTTGTTTTCAACATAGGGTAGGAAGGATAGTATGGTCTTATGTTGAAGATCATGAATCTTTATAAGATGCAGAACATCTCAGTCTCATCTTATGTTCAACGTGGGGTGGAAGCTTACATGTTGAAGATATTCAATGTGCATCTTATAAGTTCAACACCTTATGTTGAACAGAAGATGATCTTGTGTTGAGGATGCTCACATTATTATGAGACACAACATAAGAGATGATGTTAAATTGTTCACAAAGTCAAGCTACATTTTTTTTGTTGCGTTATGAAAGGTATTTTTATAATTCAGGTCCTAGAAAAAATATAAAGGAATGAATCCCTGACAAAAAAGTTCCAAATTGTTGATTTTTTTTCTTCCCTTCCAATATAATTAATTCAGAAGTAATTACTTAACATTTATGAAATTACAACAATAAATCTTTACACTTGGTTTGTGGTAAAAATAAATAAATAAATAAAAAGAGTGCAGTATTGTTGAGCGTCTTTTTGTATTGTATAAGAAAAATGAATGATTAAAAAATGAATTAAATTGAGTTGAATTGATTAATAACCGATTGTTTCATCATGCAAGATAGTTTTTGGATTTAAAATTCAATTAATGTTCTTTATTTTGGGGCTTTTGTCAGAGCGGGTCATTTTTGACCCGTAGGACAAAGGGAGTAAACAGAACATTAGGATCGCACCATGCTTCACCCGTCAACACAGCTGTTTCTTTTATGGTCCTTGATTTTAATGATTCCCTACTAATGGATGGGGGTGTGCACGGCCGGTCCAAAACTATCTGGGGCCCCAAACAGGAAGGGACTTTCAACTACCATCAATTACCTCCATGTTACTAACATCCCCTTCATGTTAGCCATGTTAAGAGTTTATATGTCAAGCAAAATTATTTTAATTTACACCTGAAGCTTGAATCTATTGGAAAGTGTACCATTTCATTTCTAAAAATCAGAATTGTATCACCTTATTCAACAAATGAATCAAAACAAGAACGTCCACTAGTCGCTAAATGCATCAGTCGTGTTAATGTACATTCATTTAAAAGGTTCCTGACAGATACTTTACTGAAGAGGTTCTCCATGCTGTTCCTCAGGTCCCATTGTCCTTCATGTTTCAGACACTTTTTGCTCTAGCACAACTGATTCAAAGGACTTCATTACCACCTCTATGTGTTATGAAGAGCTACAGAAGTCTATTAATTTAAGTCAGGTGTACGACAGCTTGGAAACACCTGGAACATACAGAACAGTGGCTCCTGAGGACCAAGATTGAGAACTACTGGTTAAGCCATAAATGTAATTCCCTTCTTTTTTTCTGTTGGATTACCTCCATTAGAGAGCCTATAACATATATTTACAAATATGTTATGTGTTATATCCTTTAAAAGAAAAAAAAAAGTGAAAGTAGCTTAAAATCCAAATCTATAATGGAAAAAAAGAAGGCTATCGGCCTGAACCAATTGGTGGATGTCTTAAATAAAAAAAAGATCACATGACTTGTTTTAATTACCACTGATATAAAAACATTTCAAACCTCAATGCAACTGCTTAGTTTGCTTATATGTTGGGCCGGCGCAGATTAAAAAAAAAAAAGAAAGAAATTGGTGCCGAGAGAAATGACCATCTTTTAATCTAGAGTACTTTCAAATAAAGTATTCACCTTTAGAATATTGTTATAAGTTGAGTTTGTGAATAAAATGTGCCAGCTAGACTTTAGTTGA